CTGGCTTTTAACTGAGATGGTAGTATGGACTTGTATTATTATATTGGGATGGACTCAACACAAAGTAAAGAGAAAAATTGGCACATTATCGTAGAGAAGGCTCTACACTCCTCAAATGCACTGAATTCTGCATTCAGGGGATTGTCACATGCTAGTTCCAGCTAACTCACAGCTTGCCTTCAGTCATACTTCAAGTTCAGGCTCACCATTTGTTCTTAAGCTTGACCCACTGTGTGACTTGAGAGTCTTATGCTTGTTCTCTCAAAGGCTGGTGTGCAGCTTAACAGCATGGATCAAATTAGCAAATTAATGAGGTCTCATCTTGTGAGACAACATGTAGATGTATGGCAATGCACCCTACATTACATGCCTATGTAATTCATCATGTAAATAGAAACATGCATTTCTTGCCAGATAATCTCCATAACTGGTAACTGATAAAAAAGATTAAAAATCAAAGTTCTCCTGCACCCTCTCTGAAATATCAGCTCATGGACCTGATCCAAAATTGTGGCTCTTGATGAGAGTTGAACTGATCTCAGTTTAATCTTTGAACATGGAAGAACAGTGGAAGTTACCACCAACACAACATTTTTAGCTGGCTGCCTGGTGCAGTAACAGTAAAAAATTCTCATTTCTCTGTACTCACCATAGACTAGATTTTTTTAGATTGCTGGTATTTTCTTTTCTATGTAGGACATCACTACTGAACACACTTTCAAACAGAGGTGAGATTATAGATTTGAAAATTAAGTTTTTCTAATGTAAACATTGACTGTCATCAATTTTCTACACATTTTTTTATATTCTTTCTGCAGTTGTTCAGTGGAGTGCTCTTTAAGGCCAAGTGAGTTGATAGTGTCAAGCAGTTCTGCTGTATCTTTGTTGATTTTCTGACTACTTACTTTATTATTTACTAATAACGAAAGGTCAAGTCTCCAAATGTAATTGTGATTTGTCTATTTTCCTTTTAGTTTTAAGAGTTTTAAATACCTTGATGATCTACTGTTAGCTGCACACATAATTATGCATATTTACTTTATTTCTGTAACATTGTTTCTGAAGTCTAATTTATAACACATTAACATAGACTTTCTGGATTTCTTTGCTTAGTCTTTCTATGAATAACTTTTTCCAGTTACTTACTTTTAATATATGTCACTATATTGAAAATGGATTTCATAATCCAAAAATGGGCATCTTAAATAAACAGACATTTCTCAGACAAAGAAGTAGAAATACCAAATAAACATATGAAAAAATGTTCAACATTATGGTCATTCAAGAGATGCAAATGAGAACAACACTGAGATTCCACCTCACCCCAGAAAGGATGGCTGCTACCATGAAATCAATCAACAACAAATGCTTCCAGGGCTGTGGAGAAAAAGGAACTCTTCTCCATTGTTGGTGGGAGTGTAGACTGGTGCAACCACTGTGGAAATCAGTATGGAGACACCTCAAAGAACTACGACTGGAAGTCCCATTTGACCCAGCTATTCCCCTGCTAGGTACCTTCCCCAAAGAATTAAAAGCATCACACCACAGCGATATATGTGCACCCATGTTCATAGCTGCACAGTTTGTAATAGCAAAAGCTTGGAAACAGCCCAACTGCCCATCAACTGGAGACTAGATAAAGAAAATGTGATTTTTTTACAAAATGGAGTACTACTCAGCTATAAAGAATGTGAAATTAGAGACATTTATAGCTAAGTGGATGCACATTGAGGCAATACTCTTAAATGAAATAAATAGGAGACACGTATGTAAATACTGAATAGTTTCTCTGGTGTAAGAAACTGAAAGTGTGAATAAGGATCAAAAGGTATAATAGATAATGTGAAATAGGAAGAAAAGGTCCAAAGGGGAAGGGGAAGTTGGAGGGGTAGGGGAAAAGAAAGAAGGGAATGGAATTAACAAAAATGAAAACATGAAAACAAAATCTTTGTAAACAGAGAGGGGTGGAGGGGTTGTAGGGAGGCCAGGGGAATGGGGAAAAATAAGAATCAAGATATATTATGTAAAGGTACAAATTTCCAATGATGAATGTCATTATATTGTATACCTAAAATGTACCAATAAAATTAATTTTAAAAAAAGAAAATGGATTTCATGTTGATAGTATATACTTTTTTTAATTAATACTGACATTCTCTGTTTTTAAATTTATGTGTTTAAACTGGGCATGGTGGTGCAGGCCTGTAATCCCAGCACTCAGGAGGCTGAGGCAGGAAGATTGCCAAAAGTTGGAGGCCAGCCCAGACTACATAATGAATTCAAAGCCAGCCTGAGCTACAGAGTGAGACACTGTCTCAACCACACAATAATAATAATAATAATAAATCGGTGTGATTCAACCACTTACATTTACTGTACTTATTGATATAAATAGATTTAGGTTCATCATTTTATTCCTGATTTTTTATTTGTACATGTGTTTTTGTTTCTCAGTACTATATTAAAATATATTCATTTGCTCTATTTTTTATTTTCTCTTCAAATTATGTTTGTGGCATGGATTTTTAGATAACTATTCAAAACAGTCCTTTAAAATAACAAAATTATATATCAAGAAAACAATCTTGCTTTAGGTGAAAGTAATTTGACAAGTATTATTATAGGAAAGTAATTTGTCATTTTGCCTTTGCAGATACTGATAACAAAATTTTTCTTTCTTTTCCAAGACTTTTTGTTCTGTCATATTAAAACTATCAGTATCACCACATGGATTAGTTTGTGATAGTTCTTCATTGTGCTTAATTTATACAAAAATAATGTTGATAGTGTGGTTTTTTGTTCTACTCAAGCTATAAAAAGCCTATCTTATAAACATATAATTGTCAGAGAATTAAATATATTATGGTAATAAATGCCTTTATTTTAAAAGCTTTTAATGGACATATAGTACAGTGAACCCTTGACTTATGAACTCAGTTTGTTCTTGAAGGCTGGTTGTAACTCAAGTTGGTCAGGCTCCTCTACACAGCCTTCAAAGTCTCTCTCCTGTATAATTTTAGGCCACACTTCCTTCCAGGAAGATCTTAGCATCCTTAGAGAGACATTGGCCCAGGATTTCTCAATTAACCCCACACAGGAAAGGATGTCATAATGTTCCTTCCAGAATTCTTTAAGGGTTAGGGCTGTATCTGAGACCATCTGGGAGCACAAGCAGCCAGCATTTGGATCATAACTCAAGACTTTGGTCCTAAGTTAAAATTAAAATTCTGGTTATAACCCAGCTGTTCATATGTCAGGGGGTCATAACTCAGGGGTCCATTATATAATAGCCATCACAACAAGTAAAGTGATATCCTATTGTAAATTTTTTTTCTGGTACAGGGGATCGAACTCAGGACCTTGCACTTGTGAGGCAGACAAGGTGCCACTGAGCTGAATCCCCAGCTCTAATCCTATTGTAATCTTGATTTCCATTTCCCTGGTGATTAGTGATATCGAACACCTTTTCATACACTTGTTGGCTATTGAATGTATCTTCTTTGGAAAAAAATGTCTATCCAGGTTATTTGGCCATTTTTTAGTCAGGTTAATTTTTTTGCTATTGTATTATAGGAGTTTCTTACGTATTTTGGACTCTGATATCCTGTAAGATTTGCAGTTTGCAAATATTTTTCCACATTCCATAAGTTACTATGTAGAGGCTTTTTAGCGTGATACAATTACACTTGAATATTTTTGCTTTTGTTGCTCGTACCTTTTTGTCATACAAAAAAAAATTATTTCCAAGATCAATTTCCTGAAGATTTTCCTCCACATGTTTTTTCTAGTGGTTTTATAGTTTCAGGTTTTATGTTTTAAAGCTTCAATCCATTTTGAGATGATCTTTCTGTATGGTGTGTCATTTCATTGTCTTGCATATTACTCTAAATAACCAAAATACAGAAACAATCTAAAAGTATTCTGACAGATGAATGAGTAAAAAATGTAGTGTTCTGATACTGGATATTATTCAGACTTGAGAAAGGACATCGTATGATTCATGATGACATATGTGAACCTGGAGGACATTGTTCTAAATGAAATAAGCCAGTCACATAAAGACAAATACTGCATGGTTCCACTTATATAAATATCTGAAATTATTCAAAAACATACAAACAGAGGATACAATTTTGGTTTCCAGGGACTGGAATGGAAAGGAACAAAAGGTGAATTATTGTCCAATAAATATAAAGTTCATTTTTGCAATACTTCTAGAGTTCTCCACAACACAGTGCTTACAAGAAAGGACACAGTATTGTACCTTTAAAAATTTAAGAGAATAGATCTAGTGTTGAGTGATGCTCCAGAAGCAGCAGCAACAACCAAAACAAAGAAGCACAGAGGGTTGGATATGTCTAATTCCTTGATTGTGATGCTGTTCTCAAGGGTGTATACAAATGTCCAAACTCATCAAATTGTACACATCAAATATGTGTAGTTTTTGTATAGTATTTCTACCCCAATAAAGCTTTTTAAAAAGAGAATGAAAATCATTTCATGTATGGTAGCATATGTTTATTATTTTTGTTGCTCTTCATTCTTGGAGTTCCAAATGTTCCTCTAGTATCATTTCCCTTCAGCCTGAAGAACTTCATTCTCTATTTTTTTTTTAGAATAAGTCTGTTCCTGATGAATTCTCTCCATTTCCCTTTATTTGAAAATTTCTTTATTTTACTATAATCTCAATAAGATATTTTCACAAGCTGTGGAAATCATGGTTGACAGAATTTATTTTTTTCTCTCAGCTTTTAAAAATGTAATGGGAGGCAGACCCTGTCCTATAGGACATTACAAGGACTTTGATTTTACTCTGAGAGAAATAGGAAGCTATTTGAGGATTTTATTAGGGGGTGACATGATCTATGATTTAAAGGAAATCACTGGTACCTCATGCCTGCTGTATTAGGAATGCAGTGCCAGAGGAGAGGCAGGAAGATCATGTAGAAGGCTATCACTGTTTGACCAAGGATGTAGCAGTAGCTACTTTATGGGCTAATTTTAAAGTAAGAAAACTGGATTGCTTGATGGGTGCAATGTGACAAGTTAGAGAAAAAAATAATAAAAGCCAAAAATAACTCTGAATGAATGGAGTTGCTATGAGCTGAAAGCAAAAGGTAGTAGAAGGAGCATTTTAGAGGTGAGAACAGAAAGATCAAAATTTCAGCACTGGTTACACTAAATCAGAATGCCAACCCTGTAGAATTCAGTATTTTTATCCAAAAGGAGAACATCCACGACAGTGTCTCTCCTACATGTTGTCTGACATGACCCCAGTAGTGCAAGAAAGAATTGCAGATGTCCCTATTTCTTTTCAGGAGTCCAACAGATCCCATGTCTCTGCTCTTCATTCCTGCTCACTTTTCACTTGAGAGACCTTGCTACAAACAGATCAGCGGAGCCCTGCAGTCACAGGAAGTCTCGGGAGGTTTGTGCTCAGCTCCCCCTGCAGCCCCAGGCACTGTGCCACTCACAGCACAGTAGTACGTGGCTGTGTCACTCCAGTGGGCTGACGATTTCTCCAGGTGGAATGAGGTTTCACTCTTCTTAAATTCAGCCTTGAAGTCTCTGATGCCTGTGACCACGGGAGCACCGGACATGTATCTGAGGAGAAACTGGGGGCCTTGGCCAGGATACTGGACGTACCAAAAGAGATAAGGTGCTCCGCTATAGGTATAGTTGCACCTCAGCAGCAGAGGGTCCCCTTCCCAGACGGCAACGTGGCGGTCAGGCTGGGCCACTGACTGCGCTCCGCTTCCTCCTGCAACATCAACACTTGATCAGTGAGATCAGGACCGACCTACCTGTAGTGAGCGATGGGGCTCTCCTCAGATTCTGATTGGGAAGATGTTTCCCCCTTGGAGGCAGGAGCAGAGATTCAGCATTACTTACTCAGAGTGAAGGGCATTCCAAGCAGGAGGAGGGTCACTGAGAGCATGGCTAGTCAGCAGAGAGGCTGAGAGCACTATTCTGGAAGATCTCCTGGTGCAGAAAGATTGCGTTATAGTCCTTGCAAGAGAAAAATGGGGGGGTTCAAGAGTTTCCTCTTTAGGCAAGCCCTAAAGGCTGGCACTGAGAGATGCTTCCTTTAACAACTGCTCTGATACTGATCGTACTCAGAATGTTCACTCCTTGTGCTATTAGGTAAAAAAAGCTAAGTGACTGACGCTGAACTTTTTGTTTGCACAAATTCTAGTCTAGGTAACATCTCCCCCTGGCGGTCAAGTAGAGCAACAAATTGAGTCTTTAGGTTTTTGTACTCCATTTCTTAGTATGTAGTACAATCTGGTGAAACGTTTTCAAGAGTCTCCTTATTAAGAGGCTATATTAATCTAATGAATAAATAGTATTATTCAATCATATGAGGTAAATAATATTATAGTCCTCATTTTTTTTCTTTTTTTTTTGGTGCTGGGGATCAAACTCAGGTCCTTGTGCTTTCGAGGCAGGTGGCAGAACCATTGAGCTAAATCCCCGACCCTATAGTCCTCATTTTTAAAACTAGGAAACAAAGTAGAAGAAAAGATGCAATTTTTTTCAAGATCACAGCAAGTGGCAAAGCTAGTTGTTCCCACTAATGTGAGTCCAGAATCCACAGTATTAATCAAAGGTAACTACTGAACATTTCTCACTGTAGCCTTTTAGAGTATTATTTATAAATTACTTATGATGTTAAATAATTTGCCCCAGGATACATGTGGGTTAGATCCTAACACTTGCCCACTCCAAGGCCAGTTCCTCTCCAAGTTTTCTTGGCAGATTGCTACTCTAAAAAAGTAGGTGAAACTTCAAAAAGATAAATGCTCAAAGAAAACTCAGAATAAAAGTGGTGCTAGAAAAAAACCTTAAGGGACCCAAACACTCCAAGGATGAATAGGAGAGGAAATAAAATCCTGGAGGGGAGTCCAGAGAGTGAAGTAGCAATTCAGAAGTGGCTGGTAGCAGATGGGAGAAGTTTTAGGAAGAAATGCTAATTTGTATCATTTATACTACTAGTTTCTCTTATTTCATTGAGAAGAAAGTTTTGTGCTAATCTCTGTTTCTTTTTTGTAGAAGAGAATCTTTTTGTGGCTGTCTTATACTCTGAGTAACTACTTTGAAGCTAACAATACACGGTGTGTTAACTGTTGTTATTCTCTCATTATTTTGCTGTGAAATTTTATTGTTTCATAAAATAAAAAAAGAAATGTGGACCCAACAGAGCAAATCCTAAAGAAATTTCTAAAAGGAAGATGACTTTTCAGTGTCTATTGATTTTAACAACACAAAGATCATGATCTGGGTCTTTTTAGACAAAGATAAACTATTGAAATAAGAAAAGGAAATGAGACAAGGAAAAAAAAGTTGAATATAGAAAGCTCTTTGTTGGAATTTCGAGTCATCTGAAGTCACTGTGCAAACCAGATGGAGGTTTTGAAGTAGTAATGGCAGGATATTTTAAAAATTGTAGTGGATTTACATGCATTCAAAAAGAATTTTTGAAATATAATCAGAGGTCACAGGACCACATTTCTGTTAGACAGTCATTTCAGGTTTTATTGAAATAAAAGAAGAAAGGACATGTTTGGTTTTAAGTAATTCTGTGGGGTATGAGGGTAGAAGTTTGAAATATCTATTAGTTTCTAATGAATTTTTCCTTATAAATAAAAATTAACTGTCTCCCAAAAGATTGAATAGAGTTTATTTGGAATAGCAATTCTGAGGTATGTGAAAAGTTTTGAAAGAGCTTCTGTCATGAATGGCAGGGGGAGAAGATTATAGAGTAAATGATTACTTTTCTGGCAACACCATGGGCCTAGTTAGTATTGATAGTAACATGTTTCAGTGGCACCAATATTCATTATAAAGAAGAAACTGATCCATCCTTGGGAATTAGTATGATCACTGCGATGGTAGAGAATTAGAATAAGAATGATGGGGTTAATGACAAAAGACTGAAAGTAACAGGTCATGGAGTTCAGTTCTAAGTAAGACAATAAAAGAACAAATAAGATAACACTAAAGGGATCTAAGGACCAAGTGATCAAATACATTCAAATAACAAGTGCAGCAGGAGGATCTGAATGTGAGAAGGTAAGCATGGGTGGTTTTAGACTAGATGTGAGAGTTTAGGTGAGCAGCAGCTGTCTGGAGAATTATCGCAAGATCTTTCTAGAGTGTGGCTATGGCCATTAATGGCAGGAGGATTCTAATTAATGGTCTTTAAAGTTGCTGATTTCAGCAATGGCCCAGGAGGAGATTTAAGTTTTATGGAATTAAGGTTACAGTTTAAACAACTGTGCTGTGTCAAACCCTTCAATATGTTTGTTATTTATGATGATGATAGTAACAAAAGGATAGTGGAAAGTAAGGCAAAGACCTCAAAGCTGCAGGAATAATGCCTGGATTTTACTGGTGACAAGGAGTATGCAGGTGCTACCTACATACCTGAGTTGGGTTGGATTGGGCTGGGTTGAGTTTGGTTTTAGCTAAAGGAGAATAAAGACCACAAGGGAAAGAACACAACCCTGAAGAAAGAAATGCATTTCAGTTGAGGTATATTGAAGGACTTTTCACAAAGGCTATAAACTGTGTTTTCCTTTTCAGTGCTAGTGATCAAATCCAGGACCCCATTCCTGTTAAGAAAGTAATCGACAGTGAACTATACCTCCAGCCCCAAATTTTTATTTTTGATAAAATGGGAGTTTGGAGGCCAAGAGGAAAGATTTTCATGGGAAGACAAAAGGCAGGTCAGTTTTGCAAAGAAAAGGACAGAGTCAAATCCCCTGATGAACAGTTCCTCTCTGAAAAGAGTTAGTCATGTAAAATTAAATGTGCTTCCCAGGGGTCCCAATATGGAGGAACAGGGCTCCATTAAGGTCATTGGTTCTCAGAGTTCCCTGAAGGTGCTGTAAATATCAACAAGTTCTGGGCTTTCCGGAAGGGGTCAGCTCTCATCCAGTACATTAGAAAGGCTGCAAAGTTTTTATTGGAAGATAGAAGCACTAGAGAAAAATATTTCTACCTTACATTGCAGAGGGCACACCTGGAAAACCATCCCTGGAACCAGGGTATCACTGCACTCACTGCTTACAAGTTATTCCGTGAGTTCCTGCAATGGAGGCATTGGGATGTTTATTTAGGCTGCCTGTGAATCTTCTTTCTGGTTCTCCTATCTCATGATAATTTACTATTAATCTTTCCACTTTTTCTCCTAAAGATCAGCTCTCTTGTCTCCTCCTACTTTATCTAATATAATCCCCGAAGTCAGTCATTCCAAAGTTGTTTTATGAATCCCTTCAATCCTCACCCTTCTCTTTCTCTCTTCCTTGTTAACAGCCTTCCTTGTTAAATCCAAAGACGGGATGAATATGCCTCACCCACTATTAGGCCTCAGGGGTAATGGATCCCAGACTCTAGTGTTACATCAGTATTGCAAAGATGTTGGTTCGCAAATCATATTCACATACTATGCTTCACTGCTATGGGAGCCCTTTAATATAGAAGCTATACCAAAGATTTTTCCATACAAATAGTGAATTTCTTCTTTCTTAATAACAGAATCCTGATTTCTTTTACTTAATTATGTTCTTACATAAAATACATTTTCTCCAGAATTTAGCAGCTTTGGATTGCCATCTACCCTGTTCTGAATAAGATGTAAGTGTCATGAGCTATTTATCATCATATCTTATTCAAGAGATTCAACTTTTCTAATAATTTAAAACATCCATAGTGAACTGAAATTTCCCCCTCTTATGAAAGCTGCATGAATTATTCACTTGTAGTCATTCAGAACACAGAACTGAGTGCCCTTACGTCTCAATGAAGTCTGTTACAGTTTAAATCTAGAATGTCCCCAAAATTCTCATGCATTTAGTCGTGTCTCCTGGTATAAGTTACCCTGGCTAAGCAAGCCCCTCGGCTGCTGCACCCTGTGGGATAGAAGCACCATAACTTGCATTGTGTCGGAACCCAGACTTCCAGACTCAACTGTCCTCTCTGGAATCCCACACAGTTTATACTCAGCTCCCTAATAAAACAGAATTTCACATTATTTGTAGTGACTGAGAGGCTAACCTTGAGCATGTAATGGGAAGTTTATTGACCACGGTTCAGCAATGGCAGCTTCTTCTGCAACTAGGCTTCGCCACAATTTAGCCCATGAACACTAGAGGGCAGCAAGGAAGCCAGCGTGAAAGTCACAAAATACTATTGGACACCAGGCGGCAGCCCTTCAGCCAAGCACTGCATCAGTTCTCAAGAAAGGAAAATACATTATATTTAGGCACAGATTTTACAAGGTGGCGATAAAGGACAGAGAAAATGAAGAAAAGAACCACAGAGATATTCAGGGGAAAGCACTACAAGCAGAGAGGCAAAGGCAATGCCAAAGGTCCTGATATGGAAACATGCACAAAAGTGCTTCAGCGATATCTGCTCTTCTAGTCCTTAACACTTCCCAACACTGCTGTAGAACAGATCCGCCAAGGAATTCCGCACTGCTAACTACTTAGTTAATGACTTTTAAATCCACTGATCCTTGGGCAATCTGTACCTAGGTTTACCATCCCCCCCCCCCATTTCCCTTTGGAATCAGTTGAACTCAATAACATCACCATCACTGAGACATCACCTACTCTGTTCTGGAGCTGCTGCTTCTCCATAGCTAAAAACCTTCCCTTTTTAGGACTCTCTCAGAACTGTACCCTAGCTAACAATACAAGACCGAGATGCTCTTCAAAATTAGAGAAAGTTATAACTCATGTTCCAAATTTTTAAAATGGAATCAATAAAACCTGTGTTTTTATTGATTTTGCTGTTTAAATTAGATGATTCTCCAGTCTATTAACACTGTATCTCATATATACTGAGCCCAATAAATATCAACTTCCAATTTACAGGTAAACCTGCCTTTCCTTCAATGCCCAGGTCTTTGGTTTATTACTGGTTTTGGTT